GGGGGGGGGGGGGGGGGGGGCATTGGAAAAGGGGGGTTTCTATTCACACGATCCACCGTTCAACAACGAGCCATAAATGTCTTATCGAGATGATACTTTCAATTCTTTGTTGTACAGTGGTCTCGAAGTTTACTATAAATGAGGTACCAAAAACGAAAATGAAACAAAAAAAAAATAAATGAATGAAGCAAAAACAAAAGGATAAACACAACTCAGAAATGTAATGTAAAATTTGTTACTATATTCACCGATGAAGTTGATAAAAATATAAGCTTTTTATTGTAAAATAGACTAAACTTTTTTTAAAAATGGAATTGAGAAAATTTTCTTTCTTTTGGATTTGGAGTATTCCTTTTTTTATTCTTAAATAGTCTGTGAGATTCATTGATTCCATGGTTTGTTAAATTAAAATTTCCTGAGTAATGTTTAAGCATACATTTTTTTCTTTATATTTTTGGGATTCACTTTATTTTTCTTTAATAAATTATTTAGACATAACAGTTTAGCGAATTTCAAGTATCATCACATTTCTTCGGAGACTGTAATGATTAGGATTTAATGTTCAATTGCGTTGTATATATATGAGTTTATGGTGTTTGAGGTTTTAAGCGAATGAGGGCATATATTATTTTCCTTTTCAAACAGAATGAAAATTCGAAGATTATAATTTTGGGGGTGAAACAATCTGACCATTTAATGTTGAATTGAGGATGAGGGTATAATACTAGTACGATGTAAAAATTATTCCTGTTGTTTTTATAGGATTCCTCTGGCCATTAAAATTGAGGGATTACGTACTGAGGATGGAAATTATTCAATGATAATATTGTTTTCAATTGATAGATATTAGGAGCTTCAATTTAAAATCAAGTAATACCGAGTTGATTAAGATGGTTGAAATATATTTAGTCATTAACGATTAATATCAAGGGGATGTAGAACGATTGAATGAATGCAGTTCATCGGAACTCAATGAAAGATAATCGAAAATGATGGGAAAAGAATTTAAAAGTACTCCACTAACCTCAGAGTATTGCAATAAATATTAATTGATTGATTAATCTTGTTCATTCATTTTTACGAACTATTCCGCAGATATCTGTGAGAATAATCGATTGGCAAAATCAATTTTAATGAACTCTATTGGTGGATCACAACGTTTGCCATAAAAAATCTGAAGGCCTCTTGATAACTCATGCAGCTAAACTGTTTTGAATTATGTCCTGTCCTTTTCCATTCTTTCCTATAGAATTGATGATTGATTGATCAATTGATGTGAGATATTCATTGAAAAGATCACCTGTCTGATGGGAAAAATGGGACTCACGAATGACATTGCATAGACTTAATGAGGTTTTTGAACTATAATAACTGCTAATTGATTAAAATGAATGTTCTATTTCTTCATTAGATGGGAATAAAAATCTTTAAAAACTCAAACCTGAGTGGAATCCTCCAGATGTATCATCTTCGATATCAAAGCAATCGCAATTCCATTCCATTAATCGTGAAATTGTATCGAAATCGAAACCATTTTTCCAATAAAAAAAGAAGTGTTTCGCGAATTTTCTACCCAATCGTAATTGTATAGTGTTATTATTCATTGGGTAAATATTATATATTTCTGATAACGCAACAAAATAGCGACTGTATTTCGATTTCTCTTGTTTCCTTGGATCAATAAGTTAGGGTGAACATTTTATAACTATAAGAATTAGCCAACAATATTTATAGTAAAATAATGGAAGGGTCAAAACCATTCATCACGTGTTCGGAAAAACAAAACATTAGGAATAATTTTGTAATTAAATCTTGAGTGGTAGTTATTTTGCTCTTAGCGCAATTTCTGTTAGTCAAGTTAATGAGAATTTGTACGAGCCCATTAAATGCTGCTGTACCATATAGAGAGACGACTGAAATTGTTCATTTACTCATTATTCTAGATGTACATTTTATTGTGGAAAATATTTGTATGATTTTGAATGAGTATTCTTGTGTTACGCAATTTCTACATGAAATTCGAATTAATAAATTTCTTTTAGTTTATTTTACTGGAAAAATTGGATAGATGTGGACCATTGTGGGTCGATTATGATGACATTGACACAAATTATGGAGCTTTCTATTATTTCGAGTCTTCCGCGGAGCTATAAAGATCACAGAAGTGTTGAATCTAGCGAAATATCATTAGGAAAGTTTCATTGATAGAAGTAGCGGGAGTAATTGATTAGATGACACTGGCTATATTTTTTTATCTCATCAGAAATATTGATAAGATCATTGGCTTTACCATTTGCATCCCTCCATTGAATATGTAATACGATTTGAATATGGGGTAAAACGGTTTGAGTTGATATGCATTATATTGAATTTTTTTATCAATTCTAGTGATGTCAGGAGACGTTTTTTTGCTTGACTTTCAATTTCGGAGATAATCGCTGGATGAATACGAACTTTATTCTGTTTGACTCAACTCGTTTTGCCATGGGATAGTGAATTTTTGTAATTACGGGGGCGCATCAACCATCGCGCATTCATTTCCTTTCCCCCTCTTGACTGTATCACAACCGAAACGACTAAATCCACACATCTGAATCGCTCTTTGCGAACTAAAACAACAAAATTACCAAAAAGGACAGAACATCAGCGAAAACATACATTTCGATACTTGTGTATTCAAATATGTGTTTGCTCTCGTCCTTCGCCCAAGAATGCAAAAAATATATATTATAATTTATATAAATAAAAATAAAGAATTTTTGACATTCAAGAAGGTTTGAGGTATTTTCAATCAGTCTTTTTCTCAAATTCATCCTCGTCATTGCATTAAGCAAGTTTTAAAATGGGCTGGATGTCCAGTTATTTTACGCATCGATGTATTCATTTAGAAAACAAGCAGGGGTGCGAGCTTATCCGATGGATCCATAGCAATTTCCTATTCTTGGGACAGGCATACAACCGTAACCATAGATTTATACAAAAGGTTCAATATCTCCGAAACTGCCCGGTCGGTTGCGGCTATCCAAAATACCAACATTCAGTATTGTAAGAGCGATAATCATACCAAATTTCAAGAGAAGTGTCAACAACACACCTGATGAACTACTTAATTCGTCGCATTTTCGTTACTTTCGCAAGTAGTTAATGGTTCCTCCTCCGTTGTTGGCCAGACAATTATTCTTGACAGTAAAAAAAAGTGGATCATACCAAATTTCAACTTGCTATCCTCATTTTTTCTCAAGTTATCGTGCGTACCAGAATGAAAAAATTTTAAAAACGAGAAAACGGGAATATCTCGGATACTTTGTATGAGCGGATATATAATATATATTTTGATTGATCTGCATAGTGGCCGCGGATCAAATACTCAAGAAGAGTATTTTGAAAAAAAAAATTGAAATCGGTGCAGTAGTTTTTGAGATATTAAGGAAAAACATCATTTCTTCACGTTTCATAACATTGTAGACCATTTGCAATAAAAATTAGAAAATCTAAAAATCGGTCAAAAGCAAGGCTTCCATTCGGAAGCAAAATAGTATATTTCGTCATTAGGCCGAAAAAAACTTTTCTAACGAATATGAGTTTCCTCGGCCTTCGGCTCGGGCTGCAATCATATGAGCTAGAAAAGTTTTTTAGCCCATATGACGAACAATATTATTTGTCATAACGGCTGTAAGCAACGATTCACGGACGCATGGCGTCCGCGAAACGCTACCGTACGGCCGGAATGAATAAAAAAAGATAAATTCACTGAAATTTAAGCTGTCCTTTCCCAAATCAATAATATTATGCCTCAACTCCATGAAGCCTGATGAAATTGTCCGATATTTGAGTTATTATTGTATTTTAGTTGCTCAAGCACTGGACGATCCACCCTACGATATTCCCCAATTCTTTATATTTTTGCTTTCGAATGGAAGCTTTGTAATCGTTCAAATTCAAGTTTCAGATTTTTTTGTATTATATCGCCCCATTATGATCCACAAACTCCGAAAATGCAATTTTTAGAGCGTATTCGTACGTATGTGTATATGTGTGACAAAGTTTTTCTTCAATTGTGCGCTAATGAATCAATGGAATTAAATAATTTCTTGTTTTCAAATGTAGGTTTTGTTGAGCCCTGTCCATCGACATTAATTAAAATTTAATTCATTCAAAAATTTTTTAGATTTTTGAATTTTTCCAATAATTAATTGTCCCACGATACCTAAAAAAATGTTCTGAATTCATTGAATGATGGTTTATAAAAATTATTTGGATGCCCTTTTGACCGAGTTCGGAGATGAAGGCGATAAGCCTTTTTGTTCGAAGATAAAGGCAACAATATTTTTCAATGTTTTGAAAATTGGAATACCAAGGATATCTTGAGATATCATGCTTCAAATTAATTCAATTAAATTCAAAGTTGAAATAAAACTAAGATAGCTATATGTGTTGACTTTATTTTTATGAAGATTTTTGCAAATTTCGAATTTTCCATAATATATTAATAATAATCGGCCACAACGGCTAAATTTGGCTTATACATATAGATGACAAAACTGTGGAATGCAGAAGCGATAAAAAAACAATTTCAATAATTAAGAAACCGTTTACCTCCGCTGTACCCCCGAAAAGTGAACTCGGCAGGTATTAGAAAAAATAGAATGTGTTCTACGCAAGGAGCTATTCTCATTGGAATGGAGTGACACCACGATCAAAAAATGTAGTTGATTACATGTGAATACAGCCCTGATGACATTGATCGGTGATAGCAGTGATTACCACTGCCAAAAAAGTTGATTGCATGATTGAAAGCGATATCATCGACTACAACTAGCGATTATCGAAGATTTGTAATAATTGAAATCATGAAACATCATTTTCATCACGCTGTGTGAAAAAGTAACTTTT